GCGTTACAGACCTAGAATCCTAGATATTTATATTTCTAATATTAAACTTACCGTGAAATTTCAGAATTTGTGCTTCGTAAAGTTCCTTTTCGTATTTGATCTCTACTTTCGCACCTTCGTATAACGTTTGGTTTAAACCCAGTATTCTTTTAATGCAACTATGGTTTTATATATTCTTCGAAGAAACCCAACATACGTTTTGCCGGGTTGACGAGTAAGCGATCGATACCTCATTTTATTAGTCTGATAGTAATACGAATCGAGTGATATTAGTCTGAGCTCTTAGTCACTTCAGCGTTAACGAATTATACTGCAACTTTGAAAATCAAGCGATGAGTCACAGTCATTGAACCGTGTTGAAACACAAAGACTGTTTCCTGGACATGTAAAGTATTCATTAAGGGATTAAGAGAAGTCATTTATCCAGAAATTATATGGTAATTATCAATTTATATGACTTATTTTTCACCCTCCTCGGTTTCCTTTGTTCTTAGAGGGGAATATATTCATTATTCCACTCTAATCAATTTCCGTTTAATATTCACCTGCAATTAATAATCCCCTCTAATATTCACCTGCAATGTCTTTGCAGCACAAAAAATGAGAAAAAAACAACATAACGAAGGCAATATGGCATAAAGAATGATTTCTATTCTGTTTGATTAACGCGACCTCGCAATGTGAAAAATAAGTACGTTATTTTGAGGCACCTCGGGGATATGTGTTTATTCACCTCGGCGCTGCGCGCCTCGGTGAATAAATCACATATCCCCTCGTTGCCTCAAAATAACCTATACAGGGTGTATAAAAAAACCCGCAACCTCGGAATTTCCCAAGAAATCGACATTGTTTTAAGGACAAAAGATTTTAGGTGCCTGGGAATTTAAAATAGCACAACTGTCAAAATTACTGCACACACGAGTGCATAAAGCAAAATTTACTAACACAACAACAGTAATTATGATCTATTAGCAATTCGATTTCAATTCCCAGGGGCCTAAAATCTTTTATGCTTAAGAATTGCAAAGTGATTTCTTAGGAAATTCCGAGGTTGCGTTTTTTTTTTATACACCTGTACAGGGTGTATAAAAAAAAACGCAACCTCGGAATTTCCTAAGAAATCACTTTGCAATTCTTAAGCATAAAGATTTTAGGCCCCTAGGAATTGAAATCGGATTGTCAATAGATCATATTACTGTTGTTGTGCATTAAATAAATGCATAAATTTTGCTTTATGCACTCGCGTGTGCAGTAATTTTGACAGTTGTGCTATTTTAAATTCCCAGGCGCCTAAAATCTTTTGTCTTTAAAACAATGTCGATTTCTTGGGAAATTCCGAGGTTGCGTTTTTTTTTATACACCCTGTACAATGAGCTCAATCACCGTGATGGCGACATAATAGACCTCATTAAACTGTGTTTTTGTTTTGGTTTATGCAACAAATGGTCGGTTCATTTTCACGTCTGTATTGTTTTTTCGCCTAACCAACCAATAGCAGTGTGGCCGTGCACAAATTAACATAAACTCAGACAAAAACATAATACAATGACTTCTGTTTAGTTTCCAGACCGTCATATCTTTATAATAGACTGTGAGGGCATTCGGAAATTGCCCAAGATCTAATTACAAAACAAGGTGGCAGGATGTATTATATCTAAAAAAATTAAGACAATTTGGAAGAGTTTGTAAATAGGCCTTTCCCGATTGCGCTGGTAAAATCCTAAAAAAGTGCTGGCAAAAATGGCTAAAAAGTGCTCAAAAAGTGCTCAAAATCTCAAAATAGTGCTCAAAAAGTGCTAAAATTGTGAACAGTTACCTCTAAGATTTTCGTAAATTTTTTAAAATCAGCATTTTTTTAAAATCTGTTTCCACGTCTTTCTCCATATATGGAACAAACTTCCGTATATGGAGTTGTTTACGACAAAAAAAAGAGAACTCGAAAAAGTCAGCGTTCTAATTTTTTAACTGTAATGTCATATGCAGCTGTACGGCTTTTCTTTTGGAGTTATACCTAAATTATATATAAAATAATAGTATAATACCCGTCAATTTTTAAACCTTACTCCGAACTGTATGTTTAGTTAATCGAGGTACGAATCGAATTTTATAATCGCTGACTTTTTGTTGCTCAAAATTCGCTCGAAATGTGAAATATTGCTCAAATGTTGCCCAAAGTGCGAAAAAGTGCTCAACGTTGCTCAACATGCAAAATGGTGCTCCAAACAAAAAAAAGTGCTCAGCGCAATCGGGAAAGGCCTATTTGTAAACAGGATTTGTAGATAATCTTAATATTCTTTCAAATTAGGCAATTAGATGCCTAATTTGCCTAATTCTTTCAAATTAGGCAAATTAGGCATCCTACGACCAGCACACCGCAAACCGTTGGCAACAGTCATTCTGCTAAAAAAATTAGATGACATACCAAGTCCTTCTCGCTATCATTGACCATTGCAATGACTGAGATGTCATGCTGCCATACCAAAGACCAGAAATCTCTCATGGTGTTTGACATTGGATGCTGTGTTGCAATGAAGCTCTCTACACCGTGGTGATCCTAAAAGGAATAAATTTTCACTGAAATTATGTACAATAGCATATAGGCACTGGAAAAGAAGATACGAGGCGATGCTGAATATCTTTATGTCTGATAAAACACGCACTGCGAATGTTTTAAATTGCTTCAAAAACAATCGATCTAATAAGTTAATTGGCGAAGACATTTTCAAAAAAATATGTTATGTAAATCAAGGGAAATCTCTATCACATATAAAGATACGACACGCTTATGATTTTTCTTTGTGTTTTCCTCATGAATTTGAAGCAGGGTATAAAAGGTACGTAATTTACACGCCACAATTTGTTGGGCATGTAATCTCAGTGGTTATAACACTGAAACCAGAGACTTTGGGACACTAACAAACAGAATTAAAATATTACCTTAACAAAATTGGCATTGATGTAAGAATTGTCGTCCGATAGCTTTACTACTGTTTCCGGTTCTAAAACGAAAAGAAAATAGATAGATATGTGTACCTATATAAAATATATCCATTTTTCCCAATACGGCCTTCCATTCCTCGTTGCTTTTCTACATATTATAGTTTACTACTAACTTGGTACTACGTTGGCTGCTCTGTTCTTGTCCAATGTGTTGCTTGGGTACGTCTTTGGGTCTGTCTTTGTTTGATCTAAATCCTAGAAAGCAAAATTTTAAATACATTTCAAATTTCCTCGAACCACCTATAAACCGTTATAGTTGTCATTTTTTTCTTCTGATATTTTTTTTTAAACGTAAACGTTATGGATTTTTATTGGAGTAATTTTGCAAATGTGTATAGATATTAGATTTCTTACCTCGATCGTACTATATTTTATTGTATTAGCTTAATGTAGTTTAATGTATCAGTTCAAGTCCTTTTTGAAAATCATTGTAAAATGTAAAAGTTTTCCTGATTAAATATTATTACTATAGTCTATATACATTCGTACAAAAAAAGAAGTACATTATAAGTTCCTAAAGATCGAGCAAAAACGTCAACCCAAACCTCGTATTCTTTATCTCTCTTGTCTCCCCCGGTAACTTCCGTGAACTTTGCTATATCTTGTATAGCCATGTGTACTGGATCAGGGGGGATAATAGGGAGTGTTCCAGGGGGTGTTGCGCCAGGTTTCTTGTCATTTTTCTCTGGTTCAATTGCAACGTCAGCAACTGTCATACCTTAATGGAAACAGAGTAGCTGTTACCAAGATAGCTTCACAACTACGTTCCAGGCATTTGTTCGCGCGGTTTTGACAAGTACATTTCTTATGTTGAAATCTGCGTGAAAACGCTTTCAAGATCTTTATTATTGACTTCGCTATAAGGTATTTATTGTGATGCCTTTAATGTCCGGAAAATTTGCTCGGACGGGCTTTGTTTCCCTTTGTAAATTTTGTAAAATATAATTTTGAAAGTAGAAGGCACTCTGAGAAATACATCCGCCAACGAATTAAGTTATGCATATATTAATAGGCTAATTGGGCATTCAGTTTTTTTCAAAATTCTCATCAAATTCACATCTCAATTTAATCAAAATATAATGAATTTTTCCTAGGGCAATGTCCAACCAAAAGTTTTTAATTACCAAACATTTTCGTATTTATACGTTTCATATTTTTTTAAGTTATCGTGCTGAGACACACACACATACAAAGGCGGATGACGACATACCCCCTGCATGGAGGTAATTACGAACAATACACGAAAAAGAGTAGTAGACAGCCTTGTGTTAACCGCGCAGACATAAACAATAGACTGTCAGTGGCAGTGAGCTCCATATATATCTGGAGTAGGAACTTGGTTGCTCAAAGTGAAGCCAGTTTCGTGTTAACCGCGCATACAAAAACAATAGAAAGGGACTGGAACTGACGTCCAAGAGCTCCTTCAATTTCCGCCATCTTGGCAAGGAGTGTGTTGAAATTTCGTATTTTGACTTCGATGTAAAGAATAATATTGTGATTTTATGAACTGAAAACTTGATTAGTGATACGGTCCATTAGAAAAAACTGGAATTAGCTGGGGGGAAATGGTATAAAAACTGTTTACGACCTTCAGAGCTATTGGACGTCAATGGCCGCCGGCTTCACTTTTCTCATTGACCGAATGACTGAAGTTCTTACTCCAGATATATATAGAGCTCACTGGCACGCAAGCCGTTGTGAATGTTTTCAGGGGATGACGGCCTCTCCTTAGCGCACTGCGCACTGGCTAGCAACACGGTGACCGAGCAGAAGAACCCCTCCTCCTAGAGAGATCCAGCATCACCTCAAAGAATCTGCTTGATCATACATTTTCTGCTTTTCGAATAGCGATTAGCGGAACTTCTACTTTTAGCGCGTATTTATTTATTCAAACGATTTCATTGATTTGTGAGGAATGTTTTAGTTAAATATCATAGTTGAATAATGTCGAGGTTGTTATACAACCATATTTCCAAATATACTGTACTGTCTGCTACAGCAACTGTCCAGTCACGCATACGTGATAAAAAGCGGCTATAAACTTCATAAAAAATATAATGTAAAACGTAACAGAATGGCGAACATGCAGATTCGGCCATCTCAAATAATGGTAATTAACAATTATTCGCCGAAGGCGAGGTGATTATCGGTGAATAAAAACCGAGACGGAGTCGAGGTTTTTATTCACGATAATCACCGAGCCTGAGGTGAATAATTGTTTTAGTATAATTTCATAGGTGATTATTTGGAAAAAAATAA